ACACACACACACACACACACACACACACACACACACACACACACACACACACACACACAGCTTCATTGTCAGCAGGCAACAATAATGGGGCTTCAGCACATCAAAGCCATGGGTCGGAAATTACACTGAGTGCTGACTCCCTCTCTTTTCTCTTTGGACCGCTGCCATTTACAACTTTGTTTCATATATTAATGATGAAAGGGTAAAAATTGCACCCCGAGACATCAAACACCTCATTATCTTTCTTTCAACACACCTACCAGGTGGCTGGAGCCTGATCTCTGTCAGCCTGTCTATAACTGACCCAAGCTTTGGTTAATCTACTCAGCATTTACGTCTTTACTGAAGATGTTTTTAACGTGGTTCTTGTGTTTATTTTTTTCCCCAACATCTTAGTAGTTTTCTTTTAATAACCTTTATGTAACCCAGTAGATCCCATTGAGATTAAAAATCTTTTATTCCATGATAAATGCCAAGAAAAGCAGCAGCACACAAACATTTACCAATCCTAAAACCACAGTTATCATAGCTTAATTGAATTACATCATAGTAAGCAGGAATAAAAAGAAAAACAATGAGGAGAATAAGCTGACAACTATCAATCATTTAAAACATTTACAAACATATACTTCATTAAGAATTTACTTAAAGTAAATGTAAAGTAAAAGTGTTACCTTTATTCAGTTCAGTTGAATGAAACGAGTTTAAATAACTTTTCAAGTAAATCCACTACATCTGTGTTTTAAGTATATAAACCTTCAATACGGTCATCGTACTATACTGTATATGTCTTTTTTTGACAGTAATGTTTTTCATTGATCATCCAGAACACTAAGTGATAAAACACCAGAAATTCTTATTTTCATTTGAAGCTGAACGTATCACCGCTCCAATATTGCAGTAATCACTAACGACACCTGACTACAGCTACAGCTGGGTGGCAGCTGCATCCCCTCTCAGAACAACACATAATAAAACTAACACTGCAGGCAGCGCAGAATATTTATAGTACCGTTTTTTGTTTTATTTTTTGTTTTTTTTTTCCAGGTGCGTGACTGTAAAGGGCAGATGATATGGAAATAATGATGAAACGGTTGTGAAGCATAAAAGCAAAGGGGGGAAAAATCACTTGTTTTGGGTAGAGTCATCTTCTGTTCACACATTAAAACTGGACAGATTTATTTGGAGTTCTCATAATGTCTTTTCCCTAACATTTAAATAAATAAATTTGACCCCCTCTCTGGTGTCAGCGCGCAGTTTCTTTCTCTTTACCTCAGACTGCAGGTTGAATTTAGATGAACTCGGTTCTCCATGTGTCAGACATCATAACCATCATTTTTACTTGCTGCTATAGAAAACATGCAACAATAGCTCACTAGTGATCGGAAATTAGAGTAAAACTCTGTACCTTGAGCCCAGGTGGACCAGGTCGGCCAGGATTCCCATGGGGACCAGGAGGGCCCTGTGAAATAAATCAAAAAGAGTTGATACAGATTTATGTACATCTTCATTTAAAGTTCTTAATGTGTCTTTGCCACTGTGAATGAAACCAGAAATAAAGAGATCAAAAACTGTCTGGAGAACTTTAGCCTTTCTGCTGTTGAGCATTAACTTCTTGTGAATATGTGTGTGTGTGCGTGTGTGTGGTATTTGGTGTTGACGTTGGGGGTAGAAGCTCATGGAAAATTGGGGCTCTCTGGAGCTACTCTACCATATGGTGGTATTTTTCTGTCCCCCTGCTGCCTGACAGTCCACCCCCTCCTCACTCTCCTCGATGAATGCACACAAACAAACAGCCAGGCTCCATAATGACCAACGCAGACAGCCTGATGTCTCAGCAGTCTGACTTTAAATTTCACTGCCGATATGCCTTTCAGTCCGCGCTGGCAGTCGCCCAGGAAATAACCAGAAACAGCTCATGATCAGCCGTGGCAACATCTTGGTAATGTGAACCCCGGTACTTGTATTTCAGCAGCTCCCATGGGAAGGTTATGCAGGGAAACTTTAAAAGCCAGGGAATCTATACAAAAAGGTGTTTTGGTTTTGAACTGCAGCCTGCAGACAGAAGCATGGGGGGTGGGTTGCTGCGTTATTCATCCACCCGTCTGACTGTCTGAGTTTTTGTACTCTGAATGAGATTTTCTTGTGGATCCTTGACCTCACCCTTGCCCTCGATGTGGTGTGGCACCTTTGGGCCCCTTCTGTCCCAGGTCAAAGGTTAAGTGTAGAATAAGTGCCAAGAAGGCTTTAGGAGATGGGTCAGTAAGTTTTATTGAAGATAAAAAAAAATCCACATGCTTTCAAAGGAATTTGATCTATCAAAAGCCTACACTCAGTGGTATGTAGATACAAATGTCTATTATTCCAACAAGATAAAAGAAATTCTGCATGTTTGGTCTCGGTTGAACAACTCCACCAAAACCATTTTTGAGAAAATTGCAGAAACAGACACATTGGTCTGAAAAGACGTGACTACATAAATCTGTTTCACTGTAATCGATCTTCTTGTCAAAAGGTGACGACAATCATGTCAAACTCAGTTGAGAGAGAGTTTATGTTTCCTCAGTGAGAAAGGTTTTCTAATCCATATCTATGGTTCTGCTGACAAACCCTTCAGTAATTTAAAACCACATAAAGCCAACTTCTTACATAATATGGTTTCCAAGTGGACATATTTTCTCTCTAGTGATTTTCAAGTTTTAAAGACCTTGCCTGTTTTTCTCCCACACACTTCCCGTTTTACTCCTGGTTTGTGCACAGTCGGCATTCCAAGCGAGATGGTCTGTCCACAGAGTGTTAAGGACTACTGTCGTGTCTCAAATAAGCCTAAACAAACATGGTATGTTTGAATTACATGGTACAAAATTAACCCTGTGGCGTACCACTGGTTGGGCTGTGCGCTAGCTGGCTGGCACCAACATTTGGACTCGTGCTCTAGTCGACGCCTCCATGTTTTGTGCCTTTCTCCCTAAGCAGGTGTCTAATTAGAGAGGACAAGGGTGGGGCTCACAAAAGCTACCAAAAGAAAAAAAGGAAAAAAATGTTGTAAAAGTGACACACAGGCGTTCTTATGGCTCTTGTTGTAAATGTTTTGCAATGCAGCAAATTCCTCATAAAGCCGGAAATAGTGTAAATTTTCACAAATGATTGCTACTTCTATTTCAAAGTATGGCTTTTTGTGGTATAAATGCTTTTGTTTACAGTACTCTGGATCTTAAATCTGAATAGATGACATCATTATCATGCCATCTACCCACATATGCACTATAAAAAAGGGATTTACTGTAAACGCATCCGATTTTTAACATCTGCTTATAAAAGCACATTAAATACATGCAAGGGCACCATATTAAAGCTAAAAATGCTTTTCTGTGAAGCTGTGCCAATTGAGAGTAGATAGGGCAACTTCTGACTACATAAAAACACATAAAACTACTGGACGTCTTCATAATTATAGATCTTAGACATCCACGCACAACTTTTGTCTCGAAGGAAAATCTTCCACTGTTCATTAAAACCCTATAAGAGTCATTGCTGAACGAGTGGAGTTGAATTCACAGCTTCATGCCACATAAATCAGACTAAAATGTCCCAATAATGGAGGCAGGGTGAATAAAATACTTCAACAGGCAATATATTTTAGAATTAGACACATCATACAGAAACCAAAAGACTGGAAAAGAAAACTACTAAGGTAATCCAAAATATCACTTAGACCTTTACGACAATAACAGTAAAAGCTCAAGAGGGCACTGACAAGTTTGAGCACCGCTATGGAAACGTTTAGCTTTCTTTTTGCCAAAAGGTTTAAAATGTTGTATTAAAAATATATGCATGTGCTAAAGGAAATTGCACATATAGGGAATTAGATCATAGGCTATAATAACTAATGTTCTGACAGCTATTAAAAGTCATTTTCCAGAGCAGAGACCCAAACATTCAGTTAATTACAGTGAATAATTAAGACCCTTTAAGAAGCTGTCGCCTGTCGCTACCAAAACAAAGAACAAACCGCCTTCAGTAGGACAAGTGAATTTAATTGTTTTTTTTAATAGGATTTGAGTTCAAACAGGTGGAACGAGGTTGTTGGAATTTGTTTGATGACAGAGGAGAGCTGTGTAGGGGAAAGCATGAGGAAAGACGGGTGACAAAGTTTTTTTTCCCCAGTCTAACAAAGACCCCATTTACCCGTAAGGCTCCAGACAGCCCTCAGACAGATGTGGGCCTGTGCACTCACGATGCATCCATGTTTTCTCTCACATCCTCCTTCCACCATCAGCATTACACACCCACAAACTAACAAAAAGTAAAACTCTCAGACCGTCATGGACCCCTAGGAGAAACTTCCGAAAAAGACATCCGTTGCTATCGCAACGGCATCTCACACTCTGGTGCTCAGAACCAGAGGTCAAGGTTCACGAGAGGTGCCTCTTAGGCTCAATGGTGCTCTGTGTGTTATCATGCAAGGCTACTCAGGCTGAAAACTTTCCTCAGCAGAATCCCACAAGGGGAAACTGCTTTTACTCATCAACTCCTTTCATCAAATCACACTTGACCACCTGTGAGCCTGAAGCATAAAATCAGACTTGGAGTTGATTATTTCCCTGATGTGATGTGATGAATTTCTTTCTTTTTTATTTTTTTTTAATTGAAACCACACATTCATCTGGCTGAGAAGGGCAAGTTTTTACAGCTTATGTTTTTGTGGATAAATATGTGCATCTCCATGTCAGCGCATCCAGTACATATGGCAGCTGCAATTAAACTTGATGAATGATTCTGTTTATGGGAAAAGGCCACGATCTGTCTCACTCTTTATATAGGCTGGTCATAAACACAGTTACACATGTGGGACAAGCGCCATTAGCATGCAGACATTCCCATGCATTTGTGTGTGTTTTTTAAATATAGTGGCTGTGTTGCTAGATTCTGACACTCGCGATGTGTTTGCATTTGACCGTTGTTAAATTTGTATCTAAACCAACAGTCTTCTTTCAAGTGACGCCTTTTCTTTTATCAAAATTTGTTTTTAAAATTTGCACTTTGAAAGCTTCAACTGGCAGTGCTGGTGCAGTTCAACAACTGTTTTTTTTTTTTCATGTAGACAAGAGCAATGCAAATACAAATCAGTGATTTTATAAATAAGTTTGGCATTCATTGTTCGTCTGTTCATTCATTGAAGAAATGTCAGCACTGCCCTTTATTCTTAAAACAAATCAACATTTCAGATGTTTGCACAGTTTTTTTAATCTCCAGAGCTTGAATCCATTAAATGATTAAAATCTGACCTAAACTTGCTTCATACCAATTTTGCATGGCCCTTAGCTTGCATTTTAAGCCCAATTAACCTTTTATTCTGAGTTAGTTTAACTTGGAGTGCTTAATGTTTGATGTAGTTGTAGAACAGATACCAGGGATAGAATAGATGGTGCTATTGCAGCTTAAGTAGCTCACACTGCACCCAGACAGAACCATCTTTATACATCTAGAGGTGAGAGGGAGATTAGGGAAACTATGAATTATGAGTGGGACATTATGGTGCAGTACTTACGTTATTGCACATACTGACAAATACAGAATAATATTTATGTTTGATGCATTTAAAATAATTTATTTGATGTTCTTTTGGTTCTATTGTGTATGTAAAATTGCAAAACAAAATGTAATTATTTTTAATCTGTTTTTTAAACACAATAAACCTGAATTACATGACAACTTGGAACAATGGGCCTCATGCAAGAACCGTTCGTACGCACAGATTTGTTCTTAAATTGTGCGTACGAGTGATTTAGGAGAATTTGTGGCATTCACCAATGTTTTCGTATTCTAAGATTTTTTTCAGATACAAACAAAATTCACAAGTGATCCAGACCTGCCATTTATTTTACAAGCAGTCAGTCTGCTGTTATCCAGACGGTGCGGAGCGCTGTGTCTTCTGAATAAATGAAAATGATTTAACACAGTTGTTTATACT